ATCAAAGGGTCTAATGAAACTCAACTAAATATAGACAAGTCATAATTTCCTGCATAAGCACAGTTCCCAACTTACACAAGGGTGGCATTCGAAAGTTCATTATGACATGGTTGTCCGTGTCTGAAAATCTTAATGCATTTTTCATAGAAATAAAGTAATACCTGTGGTTAGGATATCAGGCCACATGTCACCATCATGGCCTATAAATTCTTAGCAACAAGGCCCATGCTTTATTCTTCTTGGATTTCCAAGTCCATTGCAGGAAACCTAACAAAGAGCAAGAACTCACATCTACATAGGATGAAAGACTTTCTGCGGGGGTCAGACACGATTTCACATTTAACTTCCTTATGTGTTCCTCGAGATAACATGTGGTGACATCCTCAGTTTTTAAAGGTACTTGGAACCCTTGACCTAATTCGGGTACTACACTAGCCTAAGGAAAGTGAGTATTCCTGGATAATCGTGCAGAATAGAAAAGGAGCTAAAACATGGGCTCTGCTTGTGCATTTCAGGCAGGTACCCAGGCTGGTAATTTCATTCAGCCAAGCACAGATGGAATGTGCAAGAAGCTCTGATGAAGGGGTCCTCCACTGATGGCCTTGGCAACCTCCTGGACATTGAAGCTTTCCCTTAGTAAAGAGTAGTCAAACTCATTCAAAACTGGACCTTTAATATTATAGCCTCTGAACTTCTTAAATATGTCTCCCCGTCCCATTGTTCCCTCCGCCAGCCCCTTCAAATCTGTTCTCTGACTTGACAGAGGAAGAGAACCACAGCCTTCTGGCCACATACCCCCCATTACTGCTTACTTCATCACTATGCTCAGTGATCAAAGTGTTTTTCATATGCTAACATTCTCCTATGCTGCTTGCTGCTGCATTTATTTATGGTATTTTGCCAACTGACAATTTCTGGTGATCTGTGCTCCGTGGGGTTTGAAAAATGGTTCCCACACAGTTCTGTCACAGGTGTTGTCCCTTTGTAAAGTTGCAGAATGGGGGTAAAGGGTGAGTGCTGGATGACATCAAGCTGCAGGGGGACACCAGGGCTTCACCTCACAATTCATCCACACAAAACAGGGTCTCTGAAGGCTTAAGAATAAAGAACAGTCAAATAACTACAAACGATGATTTTTAAATGAATAGTCCTTTCTATGGGCTGTGTTTTAAAAGATCCTTATACTCTAAAGTCCAAAGACTCGAATAACAAATTCTTCTGACACAGGGTAATTTGCCTAATAAGTAAAAACCTCCTGACAATCCCGCTATAGAGAGAGCCAGGAATTCTCTGCCAGAAAGCAATCTCACTTCTAGGTATTTATCCTAGAAAAATGAAAACTTATGTTCACACAAAATCTCTGTACAAATGTGTATGGCAGAAAAAGGTATGACATAGTGACTAAGAGATGCAGCCGCCAAATCAAATGTGTATAGCAGTTTTATTTGTAATCACCCAGAACCAGAAACAATATAAATGCCCCTCAACAAGTAGATGGATAAACAGACTGGTACATCCATAGACTGGAATATCACTCAGCATTAAAAAGGAATGAACCACTGATGCATACAACAACTTAGAGGGATCTCAAGGGCATTATGCAGAGTGAAAGAAGCCAGTCTCTAAAGATTACATACTGAGTGATTCTATTTATATGGCATTCTGGAAAAAGCAAAACTACAGGGAGAGAGAACAGATCCCTGGTTGCCAGGGAATGCCTTACTATAAAGGGGTAGCCCTACGGAATTCTTTAGGTTGCTAGAATTGTTCTGTATCTTGTGATATTGCCGATTCTCAAATAATGTCATTTAATTCAATGTCCTTTCATTATAATGTTGATGAGGGGGAAAAAAAAAAATCAATTCCCAGGCAAGGCCAGTGTTTGTGTGGCGTTTGCAAGGTCTCCCCATGTCAGTGTGGGTTTTCTCCGGGTACTCCGGTTTCCTCCCACATCCCAAAGCTGTGCACATTCGGTCAGCTGGCATGTCTACATTGTCCCAGTCTGAGTGAGTGTGTGTGTGTGTGCGTGTGAGTGGCCCTGTGATAAAAAGGGGCCCTGTCCAGGGTGGGTTCCCGCCTTGCACCCTGAGCTGCTGGGATCAGCTGCCGCCACCTGCAACACTGACCTGGAATAAGTGGGTTGGAAAAAAATTCTTTTCTGACTGGTTTTTATTAATCTTTCTTAATGTATTGTTTATATTTATTTCAATGTTTAATATTAGAAGTGTTTGGGGGTCTTTATTTAGAAGTTTGGTGAGGTTTTTGAGACCAGAAATATGCTATAAGAGCTTAACTCTTGTTAATGTCAATTAACCTATGGTAAAATTGGTTTCATTGCACGTCATTCTGCTTAAAGTCACAGTTTCCAAGAACCTATCAACAACATTAAGTGAGGACATACTGTAGTTACAAGAATCTATGCATGTATTAAATTAAAGCTCATAGGATTATATAACAAAAATTAAAGTGAATTTTATTGTATATAAATTTCTTTTTAAAAGATTCGCAAATTTTGACCTTCTTCCCATGAATCAATGGTGTCTAAATCCCCCCGCTCTTGAACGTGGGCCAGCCTTGGTAGCATACTTCTAATGAGTGCAACATCGATGGTTAGAAAAGGTGACAGCGCCCCCCTAGCCCTCTCTCTTTGGAGCCCTGAGCTGCTATGTAAGAAGTCCAGCTACCCAAAGACACCGTACTAGAGAGACCTTGCGGTGAGGGGGGGTGAGAGATAAAGAGAGATGCCAGAGGAGCTCCCAGCCCAGACACGAAACTTGTGACTGAAGAAGCCTCTGAGATGGTCCTGGGCCCAGCCATGTAACCTGAGAGGCTCTGAGCCAGAACTGCCTTAGGCAGCTCCCAAATTCCTGCCCCAAGGAAACTGTGAGAGATATTAAAAATGCTTTAAGCAGCTATGCTTTAGAGTGCTTTGCTCACAGACATGAATAACAAATATAGGCATATTTTTTCAGCAATTGCCATGTGACACCTTCTCATATGTTATTTTGTTTTTCATTCATTTCATCATTTACTGAGCACTTTCTATATGCCAAGGACTACACATAGAATGGGGACAGAAGTGCCAAGAGGCAGGAGGATCACTAGAATGTGAGAGCTGAGAGATGGGGGGCGGGGGCGGGGGGGAGGGCCAGGGAGAGGCTCTTAGTCTGGGCGGCTGGCTGGCTGGTGGCCTTCCTCACTGAGGCAGCACGAGTCTGTGGGACGATAAGAAGATCCTCTCTAGACACAGCGCACGTTCACCATCTGTGGAACATCCAAGGAGAGCCGTCTGGGGGCAGCTAGAGAGTTGGCCTTGGGACCAGAGAGAGCGCTGGACCATCAGAAAGCCCTTGAAGCCACCCAGGTAAGGAGGTCAACTGAGAGGAGAAGGCATAGTCTTGAAACAGAGCCTGAAGAAGGCCAACATTTGAAGGGCAGGAGGGAGCAGAAAAATTGAGGAAAAATAGAGAAGACTGGTGAATCTGTCACCATCAAACTTAGAACAGCAAGCATTCCTCAGAGGGGACAACTAGAAACATCAAGTGCTACTAAGAGATTAAATAAGATCAAGATGGGAAAGTATCTCCTCCCTTAAAGACAAAACCGTTTCACCATGGTGGTGGGAACAGCTGCTGGAACGGAACAGGAGGGAAAGTGAGATGAGACAGTGTTGCTTAAACAAGGTCTAACACTCGGGGTGAAGGTAGAGGAAGAGGGACGGATCTGGGGGCCGGGGAGGAGGGGTTTTCTGCATGAAAGAGGCTATAGCCCATCTCAGTGCTAAAGGATGCATTCCAGAAGGAAATAGGTGTTGAAGGTACCGAGGAAGGGGCCTGGCCATGGCCAGAAGAAGAGACACATCTGCCCCTGTCAGGAAAGAGGGCACACGGTGCAGGCAAACAGGGAGCCAGGGGCCAGGGCTGCATCTGAAGGTGCTGCTCTGTGTCTGCAGTCACAAGTGTGGCAGGGGAGAGGAGGGGCTGGGAAACGGGAGGTCGGTCTACCGATGCCCCTCAGAGGCCACATACGCCAAGTGACAGATCCCTGTAATATGTAATGGTAGCAGCTTTTATTGTTTTTTTTCCAAGACAGCCCCATAAGGGAGATGCTATTGTTCAAAGGTTACAGGAGAGGGAACGTGGAACACACAGGCTGGGCGGGAGCCCACCGCCATCCTGCTGACCCTTGGTTTCTTTTATTTTGGTTACTGTGCTGGCCCTAACAGTCTGACACTGAGCAGACACTCCATAAATGTTTGTGAAAGAGAGAGGAAGGAGGGAGAGTCCCTGGAAAGGGTTACATCTTAAGCCTTCATTGGCTGATACCTCAACTCACCAGGAATCAGCAGTGACGGGGGCCCAAGGGGACCGTGAGACCTGCCCTCCAGGCCCAGGCCCGGCCCACCCCGCCGCTTGTCCCTGACTCTCTTCCTCTTCCCACGCATTCTTCAGAGGTGGCTTTGCGGTGACTGCCTATCCATGTCTCTCCTTTCTTCTTTTCTCTGTTTCCCTTTTCCTCATCTTTTCTTGGTAAATATTTCCTTCCCACGTTCCTGCTTTTCTCTCCTCTTCCCTTCTTCTTCCCTTACGTTTCCGTTACACGGAATGGAAGTAACCTCTGAAACAGTTTTGTGCTCACTGATGACAGCCCAGTGTACCAGTCCAGCCCTGAGGCTCAGGGTATCGCCTTCCTCTGGGGAGGCCATTCTTAGCCGTCACCCCCACCCCAGAGCCAGCCAAGCCTGATCCTGACTCCTGGGTCCCTTCTAACCTGCATGGAAGGCCTTTCACCCTTCCTCTCACCTACTCAAACCTACCTGCTCACTCCAGGGAACTTTCTGGACTATGCAGTCTACATGGGCTTCTCCCACGTCCGACGTATCCATGTCCTAGGATCAATGCCACTGATCCCAGGACATGAACATGTCCTAGGAATAATAAAGCTTTAAAAGTCAATGTAATAAAGCTTTCCACCCTGCTGCCCAGCCCTCAGAAAAATCATTCCTACATGGTTGTATACGATATCTATGAACTCAGCTGAAATGTTCCCAGATTGTGTTCACTCTGCAAACTTCTCTGACAGACAGAGGCAGGGAGCCTCACTGGAGAGAGCTGGGGCCTGGAGACCTGAGGGTGTGTGCCTGAGTTCTCGCCCTGCCGCCCTTTGAGGAGTGGTTACTGTGCATCGGTCATGAAACCAACTTGATTTTAGTTTTTTCACCTTGGAAACAGGGCCTAAATGCCCCCATCTTGCCTCCTTTCAGGGTTGTGTGAGGATCAGCCAGGGAACCTATGTCCCAGTGCCTTGTAAACTGCACAGACATGCCGTGGTTCCGTTACTGGCGTTTTTGGTGATGAGTCACTATCCACAAAAATGCACCCAGTTCTGGGAACAAAAAACCACTCATATCCTTGACTATTGTTCTAGATGGGGTACCCAATAGCTCTTCTTTCCCTGCCCCCAGACACACAGTGCTATTGAACGTGAATGGAGGATGCCCAGCAAGATAACCTCTCCCACCTCTGGGCACTGGCCGCTCAGACACTAGCTACTTGGGTACTGCCAGGTCCTGCAGAAGCCAGAAGGTGAGTGATTTATGGATGCTACGGCCAGGAGCCAACCTGAGCACTCTCGCGACCTGAAGCTATGATCCGATCTGGTGAAGGGGTAATACATCTCTCCTAGGTGAGTGCCAACACCTGAAATAAAATCTACCCTGAGACTCTGAGTTTGGCAAAGGGCTGAATCTCCCTGTGTAGTAAGAAGGGCAGCCGGACTCTGCAGGCCCCACTCTAGTCTCCCAGATCCACCTTCTCTTGGAATTTCCCACTAATAACAGATGTTGCTGCCACACTGGCCTCAGGAATCTTGCCCCCCACACAAGCTCACAATTCTCTTTGCCTTCCCTGCAGCTCAGCATGTGCAGGAACAATTCACCAAGGCTGAGTGGAAGGGTCAGGAACAAAGCAAGTGAAGACACCTGGCTCACAGGGCAATGTCTCCCCATACTGCACTGGAAGCCTGAAGTCTGGCCCCATGGAGACCTCACCATCCCCACACAGGGGAGCCCCAGGGCTTGTGTATACCCCTCCAAACTCAATGGGAGACGACACTGACAGGACGGTGGGCCTTCTTTCGCCAACCTGAGGCTTCCTGTCTGAGGACCTAGCACGGACCTAGTGCAGAAAAAGGCCAGAAAACAAGGTTTTGATACATGAAGGAGCTGGTTCTACTTTACTTACCCTCAACCTGGGGGAGAAATTATAACATCCAAATCATGTCTACAGACTAGAGACCTGACAAAGTTTTGAAGATATCAGCTCTTGAAGGTTAAGGGTCTGTAACCATCATGTTTATAAACATATACTGCACTGGTTCCACTTAGCCTTTCAAATATAAATAAATTATTAGGGCTCATTATGGATTAGGCACTGTCCTAGGAACAGTAAACAGAAAAATGAGTTAAAATGTATATGCTGCAGCTGGGAGTTTACACCTGGCAGGGAGACAGTGACATGGAATGAAATACGAACCAGAGTGTCCTGGGTGAGAAGGTGTATAGGGTACAGCTCACACAGCTCTGGAGGAGAAAAAGCTCAGCAGAGGTGACCCTTAGACGCAGTCTCAGCCCAGGCTGGAGGGCTGGAGGGGCAGTCTAGATAGAGGTAAGAGCTTGACCAACCATCCAGAGCAGCCTATTAGGAGAACTGCAAGCATTTCAGCATGGAAGGGCTTAGGAGAGGCTTAGGAGGAACAGTCAAGATAGCATGAGAGCAGGGTCAGGCCTGGTTAGTACTTGGATGGGAGACCACCTAGGAATACCAGGTGCTGTGGGCGTTTAAAAAAAAAAAAAAATAGCATGAGAATGTCAGACAAGAGGCCAGGTCACAGAGCACTGGGAATCCTTGTGAAGAGTTGGGATTCTACTCTATAAATAATGGAAGACCACCAGAATAAAGAAGACATCAGGGAAAGTCGGTTGGGGTGTGGGTGAGAGAGCTGTTATGTGGAGCCAGGCAGGAATCCACATGAGAGCTGAGGGAATAAAAAGGAGGGGACTGGAAGGGTGCACGGGAATCAAGGCTGACTCACAGTTCTCATGGTGTTTCTAATGAAAAAGATGCAAAAAGGAAATGGGGAACAGGTCTGGGAGAAGGAAGTTACTCATTTCATTTTGTTCTTATATACATGTCCATGTATATAATTTTATGAATCATGTGGGTTGTTATGAACTAAATGTTTGTTCCCCCTCCTCCAAAATTCACATGCCAAAGCCCTAATCCTCAGTGTAATAGTATTAGGAGGTGGGGCCTTTGGCAGGTGATTATGTTCAGATGAGGTCATGAGAGTGGGGCCTCCATGGTGGGATTAGTGCCCTTATAAGAAGAAGAGACACCAGAGCTTCCTCCCTCTGCCATATAAGAATACAGCAAGAAGCTGGCCAACTACAAGCCAAAAAGAAGGACCTCACCAAGAACCGAATCTGCCAGCACTTTGACTTAGACTTCTCAGCCTCTAGAACCATGGGAAATAAAAGTCATTTCAGGCCCCCAGTCTATGGTATTTTGTGATAGCATCCTGAGCTGACTAAGATGTGAGTTATTTTAATAGCTACCCAATATTGTATCCATAATAAAGCATAATATTCTTAATAGCTCCTTTGTCATCGGACATTGTTTTAGCTTTTCGTGATTAAAACAATCCTCAAATATCTTTATACATGTAGCGCGTTTGTCATTTTTACTTATCTCTTCAAATAATTCTTATAAGTGGTGTCACTGGGTCAGAATTTATCGTTTTTATGATTTGTATGTGTTGCCAAGTCTCTAGAAAGAAGTAGGGTCATTGACTACCCCAGCCAATGAGTGCCTCTGTTTTCTCAAAGAATTAACAACTAATGAGATGTATCTTTGTCTTACTAATAAAATATTGCTACTTATATGCATGAAATGTAATCATTCTAACTTTACATTGACTTTTAAAGTTCAATCATGATTTTGTCCCTCAAAACAGGGAGAGGCAATGGGATACATACACATAATTTACTCCGGGTTTTAATACTCTTCTTTGAATACCTCCTGGTGGTATTCCCAGAACTCTAATGTCACCTTCAGCTGTGACACCAGCTGCATGTGAAAGGAAGAAGTCAGACTGGGCTTTACAACTTGGCCCTACGCTGATTTAAGGACCATCTTTCCGACCATCTTTCCAATCATCTCCAATGCCTAAACTGCTCTCATCCGAGATGAATTCTTTACCCTTCTACTCAGCAATTAAACATCTAAGAACTGATCTTAAGGAAGTATCTGTATTTTTATTGGCAACTGCCCAAACATCCAATGGCTCATTCATTCATGTATTCATTTAATGAATATTTATTAAGTACCAATCATGGAACAAGGAAACATTTTAGAAGACAGAGCCCTTTCTCACAGAGCATAGGAGCAATGTTTACCTGGATGAAGGTACATGCACAAACTGGATCACCATGCTGGCCGTAAAGATGATATGTTATAAGAATATTTAATGACTTGGGAAAGTATTCAGATATAATGTTAATATGCATAGATATTAAAATTCTGATAAGACACATAAGTGTTCAAAGTGGTTCCCCTTGGGTGGTAAGAGAAGTGACTTAAGTTTCTTCAGTGTGCCTCTCCGTAGTCTCCAAATTTCTATGATGGGATGTTTTGCTTGTTTTATAAGGTTAGACTCCTTGCCTTTGGCCTTTCTCCCACTAAATCTAGCTTTATTAGTGGTAACCTCTTCTCAGCAATGTCACCCTCATTCTACACACACAGTTCAAGTTCACAGCTAAATGGAACTGCAGGTGTGAAGATGCTTTAGGTTATCAGACATAGATAGATAGATAGATAGATAGATAGATAGATAGATAGATAGATAGATAGATAGATGATAGATGATAGATAGATAGATAGATAGATAGAGATAGATAGATAGATAGATAGATGATAGATGATAGATAGATAGATAGATAGATAGATAGATAGATAGATAGATAGATAGAGTAACAAAAACAGTAAATATTATTCAGCTCTAACATGAAAAGAAAGCAACTTTTTACTTCTGCCACCACAGGGAAAAGTAACAGCAACTCTCACTAGGTACTATCTGCAGGTCACAGGTCACTCTACTTACCAAACCCTGGGGTCATGGTTGTTCTGGTTTATCCATCCTACTTCCATCCTCTTGGACACAATCACCCAATTAATTGTCCAGACTCACCTCCATTCTCATCTGTGGGGATGTAGGGATCCACCTCTCCAAGCGAAAATCAAGAACAAATAAAGAATAAATTCTAACAAATAAAGTTGGAAAATGGAAAAGGCCACACTTGAAGAGAGGGTCAACTGCTCACCATCATATATGAATAAGCAGCTAGAACATCCTTGACTAGAAGCTTTACAAAAGGGACTTCTGCATGGAGACAGCTTAGATGAGACCACTTGTCCTTCCCTCTAACTCTAAAGTTTATGATAACTCACTCATTCAAATACTTTTTACTGTACACACACTATGTGCAGGCATCGTTCCAGTCTCTAGGGCTATATCGGTAAAACAAACAGACCATAAAACAAATCAACTAACCAACCCTGCCCTCATAGAGCAGTGGGCCAGACACTCAAAGGCTTTGGAGTTGACCTGAATCTCAGGGGACTGAGGGAAGTTTGGAGCAGAGCAGTGACGTGATCTGACTCTCCCTCTCCTCTTTAGCCAGTCACACAGGCCTATTTCCTAGGCTGTCCCTTCACATTAAAATCCATTGAACGGACCCTCTCTGGTCCTCTCTAACCTTTTTCTGTTTTCCTATTAATGTCTATGTTCCAAGACAAGAAGGGAACATACACCCCACCAGATATCAAGACTTACTGCAAACTACAGTCAGTAAGACAGTGGGGTATTAGCATAAGAACATGCTGCTAGACAGTGTAGCAAAGGGCCCCGAAACACACCCATGTGGGTCAGGGTAACAATGAAGACTGTACTCAGAGTCCCTACATGCAACTCAGATATTGCCCAGCCTCTGGTCCTCAGTCAGCTGCTTTCCCTCGAGCTGTATGCAACCTGTGTGATAAAATAAGAGGACCAGACAGAAGTCTCCTCACAACCATTCACAAGGATTGAAATCTAGGTTTGCAGGGTACAGCACACTTAACAACATTAAAGTTTGCTTTCATCTAAAAAGAAGGGGGGAAAGCATTGTTTAAACCAGCTGTCTGAAGCCCAGTACCACCACGCATTCATTTTTTTCATGAGTTGTAAGAAATGTTACCATCGACTCTGGAGTAATAATTATGATGAGGGAAGGGTTGGAGAAGCCGAGCACAAATCACAGATGAAACAAAACTTGTGCTAAATGGTATAAAATGTAATTGGTATAAACTTCTTTAGTCAAAACTGTGGCCACATTAGGCAGCCACACTAAATGGCTGCAGTGCTGTATGTGACTCTGACAGAGAATGGCAGCAGCACTGGATAATCCTTGGTTATCCAGAAGACCTTCCTCCTGGTTCTCTCCTCCAAGGACCCACTGCTCAGTTTCCAACCTGCTCTAAGCATGTCAGTGTCAAGTCACACAGGAGCATTTGCCCATCAACTCATTCGCTATGAACCCCAAGCCGCTCTTGGGATCTGATGAGCCAGTCAAAAGATCGTCATTTATCTTCTATTCCAAAACTTCAAAATAATCTTTGGCTTGTCCCATGACCTCCGGTAAGACCCTGGTATTTCATTCCCTGCTATAATACCAGTGCAGGAAGAGTCTGAGTAGCCCAATCGATAACAGAAAAACTCTTCTTCTGGGTTTTCTTCTTTGCCAGAATGCTAAAAATATTTGATGAGGTGATCAATGAACTAATTTTTCTGGGTCCTTTTTGCCAAATCTAGGAGTACTGTTCTACGTCGAACTACAAGATATTTAACATTTTTCCTTTTTTCAACATGTTTAACAATTTTGAGATAGTTTTTTTCCTAACATTAAGTTCTAAACATTCTCCCTTGGAGTCCAACATTTTAATTTCTGGATTACAAATCAAAGTGATGAAAAGGAGGTATGTTCCCAAGTTGGAAACAGACACAATGGAGACTCCTTTTGTCACTATGTGGCTCTAAAAATAGATAAAATTCTGGGTATATAATTTTGCTGATATATAGTAACTTAATTTTTTTAATGCACTATCTTCCCCCTCCCCAACTGCTAATCCACAAAACAGATTAATCTATCCATTGAAAGTTGCCTAAAATAGTAAGTATGCCAAGGTATACAATCGACTGACATTTTCACGTGCATTACACTGCCATTCATTGCATTCTGAGATGCTCTCCTGAGGCATAGTGAAGATGGAGGCAGAGCCAGCTCACTGGGGATCAGGCCAGATCCTGGTGTGGCCATGCAAGCATGTCACAGGCTCTAACGGGCACTGGGAACGGAGCGCCTTTATATTGGTATCATTAACTACATTCTTAGCTACACCTTGGTTTAGATAAAAATTTAAGTGCGTCCACTGAAGCACCATGTATAATACTCCTACCTTAACATCTCCTTTACCAAACTAACAGTTTATGTAACTGATTGCTGACTTCATCATCAGAATTGACTTGACTGAACCTAGTAAGATCCCCTGAACATTAAAAGACTGATATCCTATACTTGTTTTTCAAAGAACCTAAGGAGAACACAACCATCAGAGTCGGGGGAAAAAATATCAGTGGAAGCATAACAAAAAATTTGCTGATGATTGGTCATCTTATCTGTAGTAAACATGCTCAGGACACAAAGTGACATTTAATAAAAGGATTCTGATTTCAAAAGGAACACTGAAACTCGTAATCAAATTTTTTAAGCTCTTTTATAAAAAAAAAGTTCAACATGAGAAAGTATAGAAAATAGTATAATGACCTTCCCTCTCCAAATACCCATAATCCAGCTTTAACTCTTGGTCTATCTATACACTCGTCCACCTACTTGCCCCTCATTTAGGATTATTTTGAAGCAAATTTCAGATATTACATAATTTCATCTTCAAATATTTCAGTATGTATTTCTGAAAGATACAAACTTTTCTTTAAACATAACCACAATACCATTATCACACTTTAATAATTTTATTACAAATACCTTTATTAATTTTTTTATTTTTATTAATTTACTTTTAATAATTGTGAATATCGAAGAATTACTATTCAATGATCTCAAATATTTATTTACAATGTGTTTTTTTGGATCAGTATCCAATTAGAGATACACATTGCAATTGGTTGATATAGCTCTTTCTTTTTTTTTTGATCTCTTAAATCTCTTTTAATCTAAGATTTCCTTCCATCTCTTTTTTCATTGCACTTTATTTGTTGGAGAAACTATAATTTTCCACAACCTGGATTTTGCTGATTACATCCCTATGGCGAGGCTTAACATTCATCATAACTTCATTTCCCCCATTCTTTCTTAGTTCAGAACAAGACACAGAAACACTTCCCAATAAAACAGCTGAAAAAATAAAACAAAACAAAAAGCAGTCTGGTTGTCTCTATAAAGGAGTGGATGCTGACAAACCCTAGACTCTGAAAATGTCCTACAGAAGTGGAACTGGCTCTGCCGATTAGAAAGCCAGGTTTAAACCAGGGACATTCCTGAGCCAGCCACAGACAACGGAGGCTTCATCTGGAGATGAGGTGTGGAGGCTGCTGGGAGGGAGC